GGCTTCCGCCCAGGGCGGGTGGGTGAGGCCCGCCCGCCCCCGCGCGTCCTCCCCGCCCAGTGGCCCAGTGTCTCGCTGAGGGTTAGTTAGGGACTCGGTCAGAGAAAGAGCCTGGGGTCTGGTCTTGGGGCCACCCCAGCACCGCCGAGGGCGCTAGGTGAGAAGCCAGCAGGCTCCGGCGGACCCGGGCTTGGCGCTTTGTAAAACGATTGGAAGTGCTGTGCAAAGTCAGCCCTCTGAGAGCAGCCCCACCGTCACATTTGCCTTTTGTAGACGATAATGACGTGTACAAGGTGCAATCGAGTGATCTCTGGAATCTACGGAGCAGACGGGGCACCTGGCCCCATTTACGGCCGAGGTAACAGGGTGGCCCGAGGTTAAGAGACCTGCCCGAGACTACCCAGCTGGCGCCCCCCTGGCGAGGGAAGCCCGCCTGGGTGCGTTTATAATGCTAATGAGACCGTCGCACGGTGTGGTACAGTATTTGGAATTCAGAACCTTCCTAGGAAACTTCCTCCAGGCTGGAGTTCGCTGAGGGTTCTGACCTTAACAGCTCAGACCTCTTGTCTGGGCGGGCCGAGAGCTAGCCAAGAAGAGGAAAGGGCACGGGGTTGCGTAGGAAGACTGGTTCCCGGCCTGCCACTGGCCTCCTCGCACCCTCGCTTTCTCCGTGTCTCACGCTGCCCACTGGTTCCTTGCTTCACGCTGAGTAAAGCCGAAATCCTTAAAATGCTTACGGGGCCACCCACAAGGAGGCCCACACCCTCTCTGACCTCATCTCCTCCAGCTGCCCCCCGCCGCAGCTCGGGCTCCTGTGCTCCTGCCTCCGGGCCTGTCTGGAATGCTCACCCCGCCCTCTTTGTTCAGATGTCACCATCTCCGAGCACCCTACTTAGACCTCCTCTAGAACGCTGTCACCTTCCCTCTGCTTTATTTTTCTCCATTGTATTTATCACCGTCTGACACGCTCTGTATTTTACTTATTACTTGCCCTACCCTACCCCTAAGCATTTGTTCCGTGGAGGTAGGGTGTTTATCAGTTTTATCAGTTCATCCCAGTGTCTAGAATAGTGCATGGCACACAGTCCTTAATGAATGCAATACATTGGCCATTATGACCACTTACCCTTGTGGGTCCAGGTACCTCATAGTTTTCTTGGCCCATTCATCCTGCCCCAGGGCCCCAGTGCTGTGCTTGGTACAGAGCACATGCCCGATGTATGCAATATACAGATTTATAATTCATAAATATTTACACATTCAGATGACTAAAATATATTTCTCAAAAATATTTGGTTTTCACCTACAATTCCTGGCTCACAACTGCAGAAACCCACAAAATTTCCCGTGTTGAGCAAGATAGCAGTGTCTTTTGTTATGTGAATGAAGTGACTTTTAGAAAGCACCTATGGATGGGGGCTGGTTGCCAGGAGAGTCGACCACGTGATTAGAGGTTTAGAATGTTCAATCCCGTACTCCCCACCCCCACCACCGGAAGGAGGGAGGGATGGGAGATGAATCAATCACGATGGAGGGTGATTTAATCAGCCATGCCTGCGTATAAAAAGCCTCCATAAAAATCGACTGACCTGCCTAACCGGTTTGGCTCAGTGGATAGAGCGTCGGCCTGCGGACTGAAGGGTCCCGGGTTTGATTCCCGGTCAAGGGCATGTACCTTGGTTGCAGGCACATACCCAGTAGGGAGTGTGCAGGAGGCAGCTGATCGATGTTTCTCTCTCATCGATGTTTCAAACTCTCTATCCCTCTCCCTTCCTCTCTGTAAAAAAATCAATAAAATATTTTTAAAAAATCGACTGACCTTAACTCAGAGGTTCCCACAACCTTCTTCTCCTTGGGTTCCGGGAATTTGCTTTTGAGAGCGTCCAGGTTGGTAAACACATGGAGATGCGGGGAGAGGGGTGCACTTGGAAGTGGCTTAGAAGCTCCGCACCTCCCCTCCCCCACCCCCCAATAACCTTACCCTATGCATCTTAACATCTGGCTGTTCCTAAGTCATATCCTTTTATAATAAACCAGGACTGTAGCAAGTAACAGATTTCTCTGAGTTCTGCGAGCTGTTCTAGCAAATTAATTGAACCCAAGGAGGAAGTTTTGGGAACCTCTGATTTTATAGCCAGTTGGTCAGAAGTGCAGGTAACAACCTGGACTTGTGATTGGCATTCTGAGTTGGAGGGCGTCGTTGGGGGTCGTTGGAACCTCCGATCTATCACCCATGGTCACCCCCGGGGAAGAAAATATGAAATGGAAAGTTTCAGAAATAAACAATTGAAGCTTTACATTGCTCAGTGTCCTGGGTAGTGTTGGAACCTCCAATCTATAGCCCAGGGGTCCTCAAACTACGGCCCGCGGGCCACATGCAAATACAATATTATATTTGTTCCCGTTTTGTTTTTTTACTTCAAATAGATATGTGCAGTGTGCATAGGAATTTGTCATAGTTTTTTTTAAACTATAGTCCGGGCCCTCCAACAGTCTGAGGGACAGTGAACTGGCCCCCTGTTTAAAAAGTTTGAGGACCCCTGCTATAGCCAGTTGGTCAGAAGCACAGGTATGAGCCTGATTAAGTTGGCTTCTGAGGTGTGTGTATGGAGGGGTGCAGTCTAGCCGATAGTGTCAAAATTGAGTTGATTTCTTGAACACCTTGCTGGTATCTAAGAATTGTTTGTTGGCATGGGGGGAACCCCACCCCATCCCACGTTCCAGTTGGGTCCAAGAACTTAACTGAATGTGTTTGTTAAAAGCAGGGCTCTGCCCTAGCTGGTTTGGCTCAGTGGATAGAGTGTCGACCTGCGGACTGAAGGGTCCCAGGTTCGATTCCAGTCAAGGGCATATGCCCAGGTTGCAGACTCCATCCCCAGTGGGGGCCATGCAGGAGGCAGCCAATCAATGATTCTCTCTCATCATTGATGTTTCTATCTCTTTCCCTCCCCCTTCCTCTCTGGAATCAATAGTAAATATATTTTAAAAATAAAAGCAGGGCTCTGTCTCCTGGCCTACCTACCAGATTACACATGAAAGGATCGTCTTACTTCTCTGATTGTATCACAGCACAAATGTCTATTTTTAGGAAGGGTTTGCTTACATTTAGAAAGCAAAGTGGATTTATGTTATCTATACATCCCTCCCACCCCCTTGCATCCTGATATTCTTTGAGTCTGAGAATAAAGGAATGGCCTTACAACCAGGAACCAGCCAGCCACCTGCTTCACGGAAGCCCCAAATCCACCTGCTTTAAGATTCTGCTGAGTAGAAAACATGCTAGTGTTTCAAGTCCCTGCAGAATGTGGGGGGAATCGCTAAATTCTGAGTCTTCCCTTAGATGTGTAGCAGTTTGAAGTATTTTGTGTCCTAGGAGGTGGAAAAGGTTGAAAAGCCACAGCTTCTGTGCTCCCAAGGAGGAGCCTCTCTCTTATTCATCCTGTGTGTCCTGCTAGCGTGGACCTGATACTCATAGGTGCCAACAGTGCTTAGTCTACACAATAGTCTTTTAAAAAAATATATTTTTATTGATTACAGAAAGGAAGGGAGAGGGAAATAGAAATATCAATGATGAGAGAGAATCATTGATCAGGTGCCTCCTGTGCACCCCACACTGGGGATGGAGCCCGAAACCTCCTGGTTCATAGGTCGACACTCAACCACTGAGCCACACCAGTCAGGCTACACGATATTCTTTACAATGGGCACTAGTACATTTGTGAGGGCTGTGAGTCCTCAGTTGCTTCATTTAGTTGTTAAAGGTTCTCAGTTGTAGTCTGGATCTACGTAGCAAGAGCTATAAAACAGTCAACCCTTGGACCCATACATCCCCTTTCTGGGCAGTGATTCCAAGGATATAATTTAAAAGAAGAAAAAACAGCTATATGTACAAAGATATTTATAGCCACATTATTTATAATGACAAAAAGAAACTGGAATCAACCAGTATCAGAAAAGTGGCTAAATATGGTTCGGCCATATGAGGGAATAGTATGCAGCCTGAGAATAATGACCCTGAGGACTAAGAGGAGACAGGGAAATGTGTTTTCAGAATAGGTAAAAATAAGTGGAACAAGATGACTTGTAAACCAAATATTATTATTTGTAAAATTTATGTCAAGAAATGAAAACTATGTCTTCTTACTGCTAAAAATTAGGAGAAAGCACAATAGGCTAACTTGGTTTTGGGAGATGCAATTGGGGAATTTTTTAAAAAGAATTTCCTCTAATGATGGTGTAAAGTTTTCAAAACAAATAAAATAAAATGTTCTCAGCTTCTTGGATTGGTGACTAAAGGTCAGTCTTTCTGGGGGTAGGAATCTCATCTTCTATCTTTTTAAGCTCTTCTACCTGCGAGCTCTGAACTGGCCACACAGCACGTACGCAAAGGCCCAGACGGACTGTCAGCTCTGGCGGGAACACAAGCA